TTATGACTCGTGACTAGCTCCATTTGTTTGGTAGGACCAGAAACCCCAAACATATTGTTTAAAGGGGAAATAATGCACAAACTTTAGTGTATCTTAAGCACAAAGTATAAGCAAAACACTAATAAAGGTGTAACCTTTTTCTGTTTCAACAAATCACACTAAAGTGAGGAAAATAGCTAAGAAAACCACTAAGAAGGAAAAAAAATTTTCACTAAAACATTCATGCGCATCAACAAAGTAATTAATGACCTTTATGAGCAAATTATCTCTCAAAACATAGAAATTAACTATCCATATCTTCTGAATGGACCCCTCAAACTCAAAGCTTGCTTCCTCGCAGCCAATGCATCATCCTTCAAAGCTTGCTTCATCGCATCCAAGCCTTGGATCTCCTTGAGTCCATGTTCTATAAAAGTATTCACCACCGCGAGAATCGGCTGATAGTAATGAGGGTAAGAATCCATACAATCGAAAAACATCAAAGTGTGTTCTTTACACTTTCTTCTACCGCAACTTCGAGGTTCCTCTACGCAAGCTTCCCGAGCCTTGAATGATTCTTTGCAAGGACCTCCTTCCACGGATTCGCTAAACCGAGCTTCTTCTGTTTATGTATCATAAATAGCTTCAACATCTCTCTCCCATAGTTGTAGTAAAGATTTCAACACCGGTTCTCGCCACGGATCTACCAGTTTCCGTGACAGGACTTGGTCGATTCGACAGATGACGTGATCCCCATTGTTGTTCTCAGACGATGAATCAATCAAGTAACGAACTCTGTTATGAAAAAACGACTCTGTTTTATAGTTTGTTTAACTTTTGTTTTTAAAATATTTTTCTTTTTTAAGAAACATCATATAAACAGAATTTGACAAAATTATACATGGAGCTTGTTAACCTTTTTCTATATAACAAGGGAATCAACAAGTTATCTCCTACCCAAAATATACCAAAGACCAAGTGCGTTTAGGAACGCTTTAGCCTGCACAAAAAAGAGGGATCTAACCTGCAAAATACATACTTAATCCCTACGTTTTCTACAATGTCACATCTAATAATATTGATTCCCTGAATTACCCAATAAAGATATTAGTGAAGTTGCCATCACTTAGAGTCTCTTGCTTCGTCTGGAAACTACCGGAAAAAACTTCACCAGTCTTCCCTTTGCAATACTCATCAACTTCTTTGATTCATGGTAGTCCGTGGTGACTCGATCATACCAGCACACAGGGCAGTGAAAGTTCCCGTCTTCATCAAAGTTAACTGGACAATTCAAGCATTCCTTGTGAACTTTTGCTGCACACTCGCTTCTGCTGCATACCAACAACGTTCCATCTTTTTCACATTTGCAGCATACATTCTCGCGTCTTGTTCGGGAGCTTGAAGGAATGTTCATGTTCTTGTTGGCCAAGGCTGGACCTTTAACCATATCTGACTCATCATCGCTCCAACTGATTAACCAGGTTCCATCTTTTGCACATTTTACACGTGCATCCGAACTTGGAACAAAGGTCTTGCAAGTAGTATTGCCGTTGTTAGATATGGGTTCATCGGCTGTGTCATCACCATCAATCACAATTACATCATCTTTCTCATTGGTCTGCCTTGGATCGTCCTCATCATCGATGACAATTACTTTATCCTTCTTCTTGATATTTGTTTGTTCCGAACCAACATTCACTTGCTGCTCACCTATCGGATACTCCTCACATACATCCATGTGCACTGATCGATCATCTCTAAAAACAGGGTCATTTGCTTCTTTGGAAGGACCTGGACCTGTCTGATTCTTCATTAAACTCATCTCTCTCAGCTACAAGATCCAAAACAAAAAATTGCATCGCTGTTTCAGTTACTCGATTGTGCACTCTTATAACGAAAAGCATAAAACAAAGTAAAGGATTAAGGAATCTTTACCTTCTCCAGTGCACATTGTGGCAAACACATGTTCTTGTGAGCAATAAACGGAAGAACATTGAACTTTGATAACTCCGGCATACCCGGTCGTAGTTCTGATACCGGAATCTAACATTTGAGAACAAGCAACTAAAATC